AAACCTCCTCAAAATCCTTGCATTGGCTGGTAGGGGCTCCCTGGGGACCCCTGTGACCGTGCCCTTGGCCAAAGATGACACGAGCACCAGCTGGGTCCTTCTGCATGTTTCAGGAGGGTTACCTAGTTTAATAATAACCTAGGTAATAATCATCATCATCATCATCATCATCATCATCATCATCATCATCATCAGATGCCCTTTATAAGTGGGGCAAAATAAGATCGCCAAACTGTGATTGTGGGGCTGAAAAACAAACTACCCAACATATAGTGACTGAGTGCCAAAACAGAGCCTATAATGGAAATTTTGCTGACTTCCTGGCTGTGACAAATGAAGTAAAAAATTATATTTGTAACTAGACATATGTTTATAATTTTTTATATTTTGTATTTCATCTCTTGTGTTTCTATTCTACTGAATTGCGACGTGAATGTGCCATACGATAAACAAATGCCTAGATTAACTCTTTGCTGCAAAGCAGGAGCAACTGTGGGGTGTGGTCAACAGCGTCAGGATGGTGGCCATGGCGCTGCGATTGAAGCTCTGCCTGGTTTTTACGTTCCACCATCTTGACTTTTTTGACCACATCCCACAGATATCCCTTCTGGGGAGGAAAAGGATGGGAGGTCAGTTTTGGCCAGCTTTGTAGGGACATGAAATTCGGGCAAGCCCACCAAGGGAAGTGTGAATCGATTTGGCCCACCCCCTGGAATTTCCAGCAAGATTTTTCGGGAAATGCAAAGGTTATATTTTCCCTGGATGGACAAAAGGTGCTGACCTTCCGACTTTGGATGGATACAAAATCGAAGCCCGCTGAGTCTGGTCCTTCCTTCTAAAAGAGAGAAAACATTGCTTGTGTTATTTCAAGAATATTCTTCACCCCCTTATTTTATTGTGACCTATTTCGTTGATTGGAGCTAGAGATGATTCAGAAAATGTCGCTGGCTTCCTGCCACACGCTAAGCCCAGGTTGAAAACACAATTCTTGGGTGTATCAAACATGCCCTGCCCTGTCAAATATACAATATTGTGATGTAATGGGAAAACGTGCCACTTAGGGGTTACAACCTCATTAAGGATTTCCGCACAATCACCCTGGCCAACTTGGTCTTTTTTAGCCAAATTTGAGCAATGTCAGTGTGAATGTTGGCAGATGATGCAACAAACCAGCTTCTGCCGAGCTACATCGCTGGTAGAATCACGAAGCCTTGGATGCCCCACAGAACCTCTCTAACATCCAAGCTTGTAGCGTTGACACTCCCATAGCATTCAAATGGTATGCTTAACCCCGTTACGGAGCCTATCTAGGCATTCTCACGACGCTTCAGATCTTAATCGAACTCAGAGGCCTGCCTTCACAGAACTCTCCAAGCTGCCCCAGAGGACCCACCACAATGAATATGAACCAAACTTAGATGTGTGAATCCAAGAGCAAGGACCTTACCTGACCCCTGAAGCATGGTGTGCAAACACAACCATGGAATCATTATGGTCCCGATGCCTTGGATCAGGACCAGCCCAACCAGGAAGCAACGGGGGAATCCAACTGTCTCTATTCTATCACCCACATTGGAATCCACCTCCAAGTATTGCCAAATGATCTGTCCCCATATTCTTTGCTCAGTTCAACCCTATGTTCACTTTTAAGATGCAGGGAGTCAAGGCGAGGGGGTGTGCAGGGATTCAACATCTGTAAGATGGCAGGTGAGGTGTCACCTGCACAGATAAAAGGCCCATGGCTTTGATCACAACACTGCATCTACCATCTTGGAGATTTTCACACACATACATACACACTGAGTGTGTGTCTAGACCAGTGTTTCTCAACCTTGACGGCTTGAAGATGTGTGGACTTCAACTCTGGGAGTTGAAGTCCACACATCTTCAAGTTGTCAAGGTTGAGAAACACTGGTCTACCCTTCTCTTCTCCTGTCTTCTCAAATGCCAGCAGGTTTATTTGGGTTCATTGCCCCATCACCAAAGCCTAAGTTGGTTTGTAGAGTCAACAGAGACGACAGCTACAGAGATGAAAAATGGGGTGAATCGTCAGTTCCCCAAACAATGGAAACTTCCCATTTTTCCAGAAGAGACTTGCTGCTCTGAAGTTCGCAGAATAAACAATGTTGGAAGAGATAACTTTGCACATTAGCCAGCGGTGCAAATTCTCACATTTAATAAAAGAGAGGCAGATGGCTTCAGTGGATGAAAAGGGGACTTGGGCAGGAAAGTACAGAGGTGACATTTCTCAACTATGGGAAACAGTAATGGTTCTCCTTAATTTTTTTTTTTCTCAACATGAGAAAATTGGAAGCCAAGAATTCAGGACTTGGATCGTGGTTTGTATTGCTGCCTTTCCACTCTGACAGGAATGCTGAATTTTTCATTTCTGTCCAAGATTACCTTAATCCTCTTTGCTCCATGAGGTCCAGGATAACCCTTGAAAGAAAAATGAATAAATGAACCACTGAGGGAATGACTAAATAAATAATAAATATCTGTGGGAGGAGGAATATATTAGGAATTAAATTCCACAGCAGGCCTGTTAGCTGGGTGGACAAACTAGGAACTTGCAAAGATGAAGCAAGGCCCAAACTAAGGAGAATTGTGAGACTGAGTTAGGTTGTAAAAAGAGTGTTTAAAGATCTTTGGAAGTTGCATGGGTTTTCCAATGGGGGTGGGGGATGGGGTGGACAGCAGCTAGAACTACCCCCCCCCCAAAACTAAGCTTCATTATGGGGAATTCATCAAAGAATCTTCTTTCAATCCATCAGGGAAAAGGCTGTCACAGAGGGGTGGACAATTTAAAATAAATATGCATAGGATGTCAGTAATGTACAAAAGAGCCAGGGCATGTGTCAAAGATGGTCTGTCCATGTAATGGTCTGTGGGAATGACCTTGGGAGAGAAGAGGAAGAGCCACAGACTAGAGAACTGTCATGGAAAAGGTATCTCAGCCCACAGAAGGAAAAGGGGCGTGGGAAGCATCTCAGACGGGACCCTCCCTAGTTTTCTGGAAAGGAAAAGTAAAGGAGGGGAGAAATATTTTCAGACTTGCAAGATTCTGTTATGGTAACCCTACATTAAAGGTAGTGTTAGTACTCAAGGTTTGTGCTTCTTGTCTGGACTACCTCG